CTTTTTTTTTAAAAAAAAAAAAAAAAAAAAAAAAGCAAATGGAGAACAATAGTAGAATATCATTTTATTTTTGTAAAAAACTTTTAAAAATATATGTACACATATGCATATTTGCATATGCTATGCAAAATCATTAAAGAATTACCTCTGGGGTTTAGTGACTAGAAGGCAGAAGAAGACACCTTTTTTATTATATGTTTTCTGACATCATATTTGCATCTTTTTTCTTACTATGAGTATTTATAACTATTGTAATTGAAAAATGCAAATCTAGAAAAATTCTGGAAAAGTGTGAATAACACTGATTCAAAGGTACTACAGTTTAAAAGTAAAATGTTGTGGGACTGGCCAGTTAGCACAGTTGGTTAGAGCATGGTGCTGATAACACCAAGGTCCAGGGTAAGATCCCTGTACCAAGCAGCTGCAAAAAAAAGCAAAAATAAAAAGAAGGAAAATGTTACGTGTATTCATTTCGATATTTATTGAATGCTACTATACAGGATGTACAAATCACCATCCTATACACCTTTAAAGTTTATATTATTTTCATATAGGTTATTTCATGCAATTCTCACCCACACCTCTAAAAATTTGGCAAGGTAAGTATTATCATCTCCATTTCACCACTGAGGAAACTAAGCCTCAGGGAAAGTAACTAATTCACAGTCATAAAACTACCTAACAAGCGAGAGAGCTGGGCCCCCGACATATTGCCTCCCATTAAAAACAAGCCCAGCTGTCCGCAGCGCTCCCCTGGAGCTGGCAGTCCAGGTGTGACGGCAGGCTGTGCTCAGCCCCTTCCACCTTCACATCAAGCTCCTGAGATCAATGTTCACATATGTGTTCACGTATGCTCAATCTGATGCACAACGGCCACAGCCTGCAGCAACAGAATAGCTGTGTCTTTGCGTGGAAAGGTCACTGCACCACACGAAAAACAAACCAAAGCTAATGCCTCATTACCATCCTGCTCTAAGGATGAAACAACTGTGTCTTTAAATAGAAAATCCATTCACTGTCAAATGGAAAACAAATATTTCAAAAAATAAAGTCAACATACACTTACCTCTATTGTTCCTGTGGCAAACAAGCCATGTACTGAATTTATGTCACAAACATTATTCTCCCTAAAAGAGTAAAGCAATAGAGGAGACAGTATTAGTTAGCATCTACTTAAAGGGGAAAGGGGTACTCAAAAAACTTTCTAAATAAACAGTCACCACAAACTCTGTGGAGAAAGAAGACATACAGATTCTCACTCATCTGCAATGAAAAACATCAAGGCATGAAAGGGTTAAGTGCTTGACTCACAGGGTCACCTGCTAGGTGACAAAAAAGAAAGGACTTCCTTATCAAATACTATTCCACCACCAGAAGAAGAAAGGGTCATTCTATTTTTTCAGTGTATTTTCTTCCAAGGCAAGACAGCATTCTTAAAAGAATACAGGCTATAACTATGACAATTTTGAGATTTGAATAACTTGAGTTGGGTATACTGACATAGGCCACATTTTCTTTCTCTGTAAAATGGATATTTCACCTCACTGAGTTGTGAAGTTTAAATGAAAAAGACTGCAAAATGTTCAGCAATGTCCACAGTATAGAAGACAATAAATAATAGCTGTTATTATGAATAAGAAATTATACAGCTAAAAAGCAGATCGCTTTTTATTATGCAATAATGCATTGTGAAGTTACAAGTTTTTTTTAAAGAAAATAAAAGTATTTCAAGCCAATGTGAAACAAAACAATCTGAAGAGTTTACTTGGTTTCTATCACTACATATTATGCTAACCTTTAAGAATCCTCTCAAAGCAATATGGAAAATTCAACAAACTATATACACAGATGAGAAGTAATCCAGCTTCTATCCTTTACTAGTTGTGTGGCCTTGGGCAAGCTACTTGCCCTCTCTGAGCTTCAGCTGCTCTATCTGTAATGGAGATGATAATAGTACTGACCACAATAATCTGTGGGAAATTTAAAATGAGTTAACTAAGTAAAATGGCTGAATAATGTCTGGCACATAGGAAATGCTTTCACTATTATGGTTATTGTTACTATTCATTATAATAATGATGATGATGATGATGATGATAACACATTCAATCCTAAAGAATTTCTCTTTGAATAAAATATAAGTTTAGACTATAATGTATGATAAAAGGAAAATAAGGGCCGGCCCGTGGCTCACTCGGGAGAGTGCGGTGCTGATAACACCAAGACTGCGGGTTCGGATTCCTATATGGGGACGGCTGGTTGGCTCACTGGCTGAGCGTGGTGCTGACAACAAGTCAAGGGTAAAGATCCCCTTACCGGTCATCTTTTTTTTTTTTTTAAAAAAAAAGGAAAATAAAAACCTTAAAGTCTGCTAGCAAAAACATAAAAAATAAAAATTAAAAAATGGCACTCCAAGTTAATTCAAAGTTTCTCCACAGTAGAAAATATCACAAAACGAAATCATGAATGAAAATTTAAAGAACACCACAAATCATCATCATCATCATCATAATGAGTTTTTTATGTGACTTTTAAAGTTTTGAGTATATGTAAAAAATTAAAATTTTTAAGAAATCACCAGGTCTTTCAGTGAATTTTTTAAGAAAACATTTAACAGTGCTCTTTTTAATGTAGTTGCTCAGAGTTCTGCTTAAATGCAATATCACATATAATTTGATGATAACTTTAGCATCTGGCTCCATCTCCTGGTCAAAATAAATACAGCAGTATTACTAAAACAATACTCACGCAGCATCAGTTTGTAGAGGATTCAGGTACCGTCCTTGTTCTAAGTTTAATCTATAAATTTCAGAGCTGCAAAGTCACAAAGTTAAAAATACGGTAAACTACAATAAACTTTTAAGTAAGTATAAATTTTAGAAATATATACATACATATCAAGGGTTTTTTTTTATAATAACCACATATCACTTTTATATTAAAGCAAGCAATTTAAATAAATAAAATGTACAAGAAATTTAAGAACAGAAGTCAGATATTTTAGAAGGAAGAAAGAAGAAAACAAGGAGTGATTAGATCCAATACCTTGCCCCAACAAAGTACAAGTCACAGGATGGATAGTGATAAGAGAAATCTCTCCCAAACTTTGGTATTCTGGTTTTGTAGTAAAAACCTGATTGTGAATGAAATTCAATATATCTATCATTATGTAAGAAGACAATCTGAAAATAAAACAAGAAAATTAGTTTGCTTAGGTTTTTAGGTAAAGTGTTTATTTCATCCTCACTAAAACTGGAAAAGCACACTTTCTCTCTCTAATCACACATGCACACACTCTCCACCGTGATTTGGAATCGAACTCTTCATTGGCTCCTGAATGTCTTCCTGTATCCTACAGCTTTTCTGCAAACCTTACCTTCTAACTAAAAGACTTAAAAACAAATGCCCTTCATTAGCTGGCACCTGCATTTTATAACATGGAGCACTCTACAGTAACATCGATGAGCAATTTCCTACTTCACTTAGGAACACATTTTAATAATCCCACAATTATCACACAGGGTCTGATAAACTCCTCGTATAAATTTAACATACTACAAAGGTACCTTAAAAATCTGCCAATGGTATGTGAATCCAATAATCAGAATCACAAATCTAGAATGTAAGATGGTCTAAAAAAGACCACTACTATCAATTCTTAAAAATATAAAGTTTCATATGTGAGATGCAAAATTTTGACTTTATACTGACCAAAGGCTATTTCTATCACTGTTATTTTAAAGATACTACATATCATACATGTAACAAACTAAAAGAATATTAATAGGAAATGATAGGTTATATTTTACCTCACAGTCATTTTTAATTTAACAATGGGAACGTCATAAAAATAAATTCCACTCGCTCATTTCTGGAGTACAGCCAGTACAAACCAATATTATCAAACATACCTTTGAATAATCATCAGACAAAATTTCAAAGGTGACAACTAAAAAAACAGGAAATAATAGGAAAAAATACAATTATCAATCAACGTTCTTAATAAAAATGCAAACTTGATTCAAAGACTCTAATTCAACACAGAAATTATATACAAATGCCACTTTTTTCTTTTCTGCCCCTATGTAAAACAAGAACAAAATTGCCATGCTATATTGCTTCCAAAACACCAATGGAAAATTAAAAGCTTTTTACAATCTCTCAAAATACATCAACTACGTTTTTTGCAGAAATGAAGCAAACTCACAGAATAACTCTTAGGCTGGCCAGTTAGCTCAGCTGGTTAGAGTGCAGTGTTATAACACGATAGTCAAGGGTTCAAATCCCCATACCAGCCAGCAGCCAAAAAAAAAAGAATTAATTCTTTTTTTTTTTTTTTGTCTTTTTCCGTGTCCAGCAACGGATCGCAACCCTCAGTGT